ACATATATACATACATATAGATAAACACATGTATACATGCATACATACATACATACATGCATACATACATGAATACATACATACATACATACGTACGTACATACATACATACATACATACATACATACATACATGTCTATATATATGCATGCATACATATTTATAGCTATATATACACACAAATTTTCATACATACACGCATATACATCATCTGAATCCCCTAATTCAAAATAAAAAGAAAATGAAAAGAACGAGATTCGCGCCCTCGAGGCCAGAATCCCTCGCACATTACTCAATGTTCGCGCCCTCCTCGCAGCCCCCCCCCCGCGCGCCCAGCCGAGCCAGACTCGAGGGGAAGGCGACCGACGCACTGGGTACCCTCTGGAGGTCCAACGTCGAGAGACCAGGCGCATAACGCAACGACTGCGATGACGGAGCTAATCTTGGAAGCGGGGGAACCCCATCCAAGATCCCCCCAGGGGTCGCGGGGGGCGCCATCTCCCTGGCCTCTGGTCGTTGCGACGGCGAGAGGATATGTTTCGGAAGTAGTTGGTCCATTTCCTTCGATCTGTCATTCAGCTCTTTCTCTTCCGTGCGCATTTGATCCAGGGTCTCACTCTGCGCCTCGACAACGTCTGGTTTGGCCGTGTCAGCCTCAAACAGGCGCGCAGCTCTCTGTCTCCCCCTTCCTCGTTAAGCCGCTGCTTCTCGGCGAAAGCCTCGGCATCGGCCTTTTCCTGGGAACGGAGAATGCATCACTCGGCACCAGCGTCGAGGTGGCCGCCGCAACGCGGCGCGCCGCGCCGGGCGCAGATCCCCCGCATAAGCGACAAACAAAAATGACACTCCTCCAGCAGTAGCCCGCCCCCCTCCCCCCCTGATGCTCGCAACAGCCGAAGACGCTCGGCAATCTCCGGGAACTTCCACTCCCCGCGGCCAGCCGGAAACTCATCCGACTTGCGAGGACGGGACGCGGCGTCCGCCACCCCGGGTTGAACCTGGAGCGAGGTCGCCACCCCCTGCCCCCCTTCCTTTCCTGAGCGAGGTCCGATTGAAGAAGTTCAAGATTAATTTGCACACTTTCGTGACTGATCATGTCCTGTCTGGCCTCGCTTCATCGACGGCGATCTGCCCCCTGAAAGACGCCAGCTGAATAACAGCATTAGCTATCTCTCTCTTTCCCGCTGCGCTGCATGCGCGGCCTGAGCTCCCCCCGCGAAGAACTGCCGCCACCTTCTTCGCACCTACACCTACGCGCGCATCGACGCCCCCAGGAACACAAGGACGCCGATGAAGAGGCACACTGAAGCGATCCCCAAAATCGCTCGACCTCCAGAGTACTTGGTGCATAGCGCAAGGACTGCGATGATGGCGCCAATGAAACGGGGGAACCTCACCCAAAATCCCTTCCAGAGCCGCGGAGGCCTTCAACTCCCTGGCCTCACGTCGCTGCGACGGCGAACGGATAAGCTTCGGAGGTATTTGGTCCATTTGCCCTGATATTTCCACCAGCTCATTCCTCTCCCATGCGAATTCGATACAGGGTCTCATCCTGCGCCTCGACGACGGCGGGTTTGGCCGCGCCGGCCTCCAACTGGCGCGCAACTCTGTCTCTCGCCCCCGTTATGCCGCCGCTTGTCGGCGTCGGCCTCAGCCTCGGCCTTCGGGGTGAAAAATGCATCTCTCGGCGCCGGCGTCGCGACACGGCGCGCCACGCTGGGCGCAGCCCCCCCCCCAGATCGACACACAAAAATCGCTCTCCCCCAGCGGCAACCCGCCCCCCACCCCAAGATGCCCGCGGCAGCCGAGGACGCTCAACATTCTCCGGGACCTTCCCCTCCCCGCGGCCAACCGACTGAGTCGGGTCAGCGGCAGGGCCACCTGGGAAAGGAGGCCGAACACTCCTGGGACGACTCTAAAGGCTAAGCCCTAGAGCCTGTCCCATAGGAAACTCATCCGACTTGCAAGGACGGGGCGCAGCGTCCATCACCCCAGGTTGAACCTAGATCGAGGGCACTACCCCCTGCCTCTCCTCTCTTCCCTGAGCGAGTTCCAATTGAAATGCACTTTCGTGACTGATCATATCCTCTGTGATATGCCTCGCTTCATCGAGGACGATCTGCCCCCCTGAGACACGCCGGCTGAAATCCTATAAAACTAGCTATATGTTTTCCCTGCTGCGCTACACGCGCAGCCCGAGCTGTTCCCCCTTGAAGAACTGTCGCCACCCTACGCTCGGAAGCAGACGCGGCCCATTGGACCCGCGGCAGAAATCCGTTTTCCATGGTTACCAACTTCGCAGACTCAGCGGTTTCGCTCTTCTAAGATTCGTAACTTTGTCTCCACCGATCCATCTGAGCAGCAATCTGAGCAGCCGTTTATTCGCTAGGAGTTTCTCCTTCGCTGCTGCCCTTTCAAATTAGTTCTGTTGCCGCGCCATTTTCTTGAGGCACTCGAAGTTGTGCCCGGTACAATCTACAATACCGTTACAAAGCCAATGTACATTACATCGCTTGCACGTGAAACAGCACGCATGCCCCACACACTGGCCTCCGATAAGGACCGTTTTCTGCGCGGGCCTTCCCAGGGCACCGATTTTCACCCGCCATCGGGCCATTGGATGCGCAGGCCCAACAGGCAGTCAGAATCGACCGCATACCATTCGACGAATTGCGAAAAGGACTAGCAAAACCCGCGCCACCCCTCGACCTGGCACGACCTACTTAACACAGGCGAGCCACGATGCACTAGTCTCGAGGGCATCAGTGACCGTGGGGGAGGAGGCACGGGGTAAATGTCTTCCCCCTCTTGGATGACGGCATGATGAGACACCACTGCATGGCCCTCGGTTGAGACGGGCCAGCATTGATGCCTCATCTATTTCCACGCTATCGTTAATCTGCCCTCTTGGCTTCGTTGTGAACGGAACATCCCCAGTCGGATCCATGAACTCTAGACTAAGTCGAGTTCCCGGGGGCTGTTTCCATCAACTGGCGACTGGAAGATCCTCACGAGAGCTGCATTCTCGAAGACAAGCGCGATACCAAAGAAAAGATTTACCGCCCCACCGAATCCCCACGCCTTCTCCGTGAGTCAAAACGCGATCCGTTACGGGACCACCGGTTAAACCTGTAGCCTCGCTCGCGAAATGCCGCACACTGGCTTGCAATGGAAAACTGAGCGCGCGAACTTCCAAATCGATGAGAGCAGAGAACTCGCGATCGACATCCATTTCCTGGTTCTGCGTCGAACTATTGGGGTCATGGTTCGGCACACGAACTACAGGCATTCCTACTGGCATCATTGATTGTATTCCGCCGCGTGCTTGGCTGACAAGTTATATTGTCTTGAACAGAACCAGAGCCATCGGAGGATAACCAGTTACTTGCCAGAACCACGATATACTCGGACAAATCCAATTGTAAGTTGTCTTGTTTTGTTATGATGTATGCATCGTCAGTGGTTGGAACACTCATGGTTGGCATGGCTCCTGAACAGTAACCCCTTAAACAGTAGCTACGGTAGGTGAATTAAATGTGTAGATACGCGCGCGCAAAGAGGAAGGCGCGCGCACCGCTTTTCACCGACTCGCAGCCAAACGAGATTGTGCAAGATCAAAGACCTACGCCAATGACCAGCAAGCGGCGGCAAAGCGCAGCGGCAGCGGCGGTGAGAGAGGGTTGGGGAGACCCAAATCAACTTATTATTATTCTTCTTCTTCTTCATCATCATCATCATCATCATCATCATCATCATCATCAGCATCATCATCATCATCATCATCATCATCCTCATCATCATCATCATCCTCATCATCATCATCATCATCATCATCATCATCATCATCATCATCATCATCATCATCATCCCTCATCCCTCATCCCTCATCCCTCATCCCTCATCCCTCACCCCTCACCCCTCATCCTCCTCCTCTTGTTCCTATTCCTCCTCCTCCTCCACCTCCTCCTCCTGGTCCTCTTTTTCCTACTCCTCCTGGTCCTCCTCCTCCTCCTGCCCCTGCTCCTCCTCGTTATCCTCCGCATCCATATCCCCTCCTTCGATCCCCTCACGCCAGAAAGTCTCATCGGCATCGTTTCTGAATGGGCTGGTGGGGAGACGCGAAGCATCAATAAGTGTTGATGGGTGGCGAAGTGCCTCGTTAGCCAGTGTTCATGCCGATTGGTTGCACTGTGGTTCTCCCAATGGCGATAGTGCGCCTGACCACTTAAGCATTCACATGCGAAACACCCCTCGGCAATTGGCGAAGCCAGCTTTCCGATTCCCAAGTACATGCAAAGACTCCGCTCCAGTAAATAATCCTGAGCGTGATGGGGCAGTTGTAAAGGCCGAATCAATGTGTTTGCGAAGATGCTGGCTCCGCGGGATTTCGCTTCAGTGCGCGGGCATTTCGTCTTGCAATGGCGTTGCCGTTTTCGACTCGGGTTGCCTGGGAGGTTCCTGTGCTGCAGTTGTCGCCATGGGTATATCATAGGGCGGTGGGGCAGCCAAACCTCAAGTTTCATACCAAGTATGTGCACGCAGTCGGGAGCACCTTTGCCACGTCGTGGCTGGTGGCTATGATGTATATTTGTCGCGAGTGAGTGCCTGGCCTGCTTCGCATATGAAATGTTTCGGCAGATGTGCGGGGTGGTTGGGCGACCTAATGGGCAAGATGATGTTATCTGCGATCTGTTTGCAAGATTAGCTGGTCGTTCGTGTTCGGCTAGAGCTGGAATACAAGATCCTTAGATGACCAAATCTTGTTCGCGCATCTCATGGTGATTGGCAAATGACTTTCATGCCTGACGATTGTTCGCTCGCGTGTGCTCCCTATGCCCATGCACTGACCACCATGCACAAAATATCTTCTTCCCCTTGGAACGGGGGAAGGGCAGGGAAAGGGGATCGTGGAGGTGGAAAGGAACACTCGAGGAGCACGAGGGAGGTGCATATCGTTGCGCACATTGACGTCCCAACTCCCGGGCGAGGCGGATGCGCGCCAGGAGGACGTCTGCAGGGAGCCCTGGAGCGGCCTCGCGCCGACGCGACCCAGGCGGATGAGCACGAGAAGAGAAAGAGACGAGGTACGAGAATACCAACAAAATGGTCATTTGGCCCCTTCCGCCTCCTCCGCCTCTTCGTTTCGGCCGCCCCCTGCCACCGAAAGAACCACGAGCGCAACAGCGGACCCTCCTCGCTCCCTCCCTCCACTCTGTCCACCCCCCCGCTCCCTCCCTCCCTGCATCATTCGACCCACTAGTCTGTTCTTACTGTCCTCCCTCATGTCTTCCCGCATCCTGTTCCGCGTCCTCCTCAGCCTCCTCCTCATGCTCCTCCTCACCCCCCCCTTCATCATCATCAACCACCTCCGCCTCCTCAACCTTATCCCCATTCTCCTCCTTATCCTCCTCCATCCCCTCCTCCTCCTCCTCCTCCTCCTCCTCCTCCTCCTCCTCCTCCTCCTCCTCGTTCTCCTCCTCATCCTCCTCGTCCTCTTCCTCCTCCTCCTCCTCCTCCGTCCTCCGTCCTCCTTCTCCTCCTCCTCCTCCTCCTCCTCCTCCTCCTCCTCATCTCATCATCATCATCATCATCATCATCATCATCATCATCATCATCACATCATCAGCAGCATGCATCATCATCATCATCATCATCATCATCATCATCATCATCATCATCATCATCATCTCATCATCATCATCATCATCATCATCATCTCATCATCATCATCATCATCCACCCACCACCACCACCACCATCATCATCATCATCATCATCATCATCATTATCATCATCATCAGCATCAGCATCAGCATCAGCATAATCATCATCAGTATCATCATCATCATCATCATCATCATCAATCATCATCATCATCATCATCATCATCATCATCATCATCATCAGCAGCAGCAGCAGCAGCAGCAGCATCCATTCCCTCCTCCTCCTCCTCCTCCTCCTCCTCCTCCTCCTCCTCCTCTCCTCCCTCATCCCTCCTCCCTCCTCCCTCCTCCCTCCTCCTCCTCCTCTCCTCCTCCTCCTCCTCCTCCTCCTCCTCCTCCTCCTCCTCCTCCTCCTCCTCCCCCTCCTCTTCCTCCTCCTGTTCCCTCATGTTCTTCCTCATCTTCCCTTTCCTCTTCCTCCACTTCCTCCTCCCCCCCTCCTCCTCCTCATCCTGCGCCTCTCCCTCATCCCCAACGTCCTCCCTGAGTTCCTCTTTGCCTCGTATTTTCTGCCACATCCGCCTTGGCTCCCTTTCCCTTTTCACACCTCCTCTTCTTCAACTTCCCCCTTCTTCCCCCCCCCCACCACCACACACAACCCAACCAAATTCGTGATCGCCTGACTCGTCCATCCCCTAATCCTACTCATCTCCCCATTTGCTCCCATGCGCCCCATCATCGCTTTTCAACGGCCCACGTCTTACTGTTCTATACTCTCCCCTCGATTGTCGCGCCGCGCTCGCCGTTGGGGTGGCGCACACGGGGAATCAGGCGCAGATCTTCATAATGTATACCATCAGCATCACCACCACCATCATCATCACCCTTCTCATCCCCATCTCCATCTTCAAGAACAACATCACCGACATTGCGTACCTCCTCGTTATTAGTAGCATTCTCACCACTACAACGAGGAGGTATGCTGCTATCTCGAAGGGGCAAAGTAGCCGCTGGAACACCTGTTGGCGGCACGGGCATGTCAGGACACCACAGCCACAATGGACAGTCCTCACCCTTCCGCTTCTCCTAATACGTATCAACTTGTGGCTAACAAGGACAAGCGGGGCGCATGATGAAAAAAATCCCCTGTTCGGGCAAATCGCGGGGGGGGGCGCCCGCCAAATGGAAACGCACGGCGGCGGCGCCGGTGATTGACGCCGACACCCGGCCGAGAGCGGGGAGGCGACAGGCGCGACACAAGCGGCGCCGCCTCAGCGGAGGGTAACAACAGGGTCTCCGCTATAGCGGCGCGGTTGGGCCAAAATGCCTGCAAACACGAAGGAAAACGAAGACGGGGGAAAAGGCGCCTCAGCTGGCGGCGACGTGCCAACATGGCTATACACGAAAGAAGGACCAGGGGGGAGAAGCGCCAAAAACAGACGGAAAGGCCTCCTCCTTTTCCTCCCCCGCCCCCCCCCCACTATAGTATCCGACGACGACGACGACGACGACGACGACGACGACGACGACGACGACGACGACGGCGGACGACGACGACGACGACGACGACGACGACGACGACGACGACGACGACGCGCTGCGGATGCCCCATGGGGGGGGAAGGGGGGCTGCACATGCTCGCACGCTGTGCTAGTCGACGACGACGACGACGACGACGACGACGCGGAGATGTCGGCAACGATCACGGCGACGACGCATGGCCTGCTGCGGATGCCCCATGGGGGGGGAAGGGGGGTGCTGCGCAGGCCCGCTGTGGTCGTCCACGACGACGAGGAAGACGACGACGACGACGACGACGACGACGACGACGACGACGACGACGACGACGACGACGACGACGACGACGGCACGACGACGATGACAATTCTGACGACGACGACGACGGCGACGACGACACACTGCGGATGCCCCAGGGGGAAGGAGGGTGCTGAGTGGGCGCGCAAATCGACGACTGGGCCCGCGGACCACGACGACGACAGCGGCGGCGGCGGCGGCGGCGACGAAGACGACGACGACGACGACGACGACGACGACGACGACGACGACGACGACGACGACGACGACGACGGCGACGGCGGCGGCGGCGGCGACGGCGACGGCGAGGGCGACCACGACGACGACGACGACGACGACGACGACGACGACGACGACGACGACGACGACGACGACGACGACGACTGTGGCGCGTCAGTTGTCAGCCTGATAAGGGGAAAAACTTCGCCTCGGACGTATACGATCCCCATAACAATTTCTATACGAAAGGCAATCGTTTTGAGGCTGCCGTGCAGGGGGGTACACGATCCCCTCGGCGGCGCCCGCGACGACCCCTTGGCGCGAGCGATGAAAAAATTGTTTCGCGCCCGGCGGGATCCATTCATCAGCCCCGGGGGCGTGGGCCTCCTTGATATTCACAAGCTGACATTACCCGCCTCTGCTTCCTCATCGCCTTTCTCCGCGCTCCTGTTCGTGTGCATTGTCATCCTCCGCGTGCATTTCCTCCTCGTCAGTCACTCTCCCTCCCTCCCTCCCCCCTCTCGAACGCCCCTGCGCGCACCAGTCTGCCGCCTGCCAGGACGAGCACGGCTGCTGCCCCCTCACCCGCCAAATCCGCCGCCCTCTCAAGCTGCTCTGGCGCCAGCGCGCGCCACACGCGGGGCCTTCAGGCCGACCCAGCCCAGGGCTTGGATCGACCTGTTTCCGATCGCGGTCAGCGCCTGTCGCGCCGCGCCGTGCACGACCGCGGCTTTAGATCGGCCCGCGCAGCGCGCAGGTGGAGCGCCGAGGCCCGGACCGTGCCCGGCCACAGCTTCCCGCAGTCGCAGCTGGCCCTGTGCATCGCAGCGAGGGCGTGCAAGGCGGCGGGGCCCACGCGGCCCCGGAAATCTCCACGGCGAATGGCGCGACGGAAAGGCCGTGGTGGAGCGCTGATAGCCTTTTCGCCGTTGCGTGCAGCAACGTCAGGCAGCAGGTGCTGGCGTTTAAGCTTGCTGGCGATGGAGAGCGGACATCAACGTCAAGTAGAGAATGCTGACTGGGCGCGGGCCGCGCAACGACGAAGCGCGACGATCCTCTCCTCGACATCCCCGTTCACCTTCTGAATGTACAGCTCGGGGACGTGGTGCTCAGCGTCGGCGAAGGCTCCCGTGCACGCCGCGTGCCTCCGGAGGGCGGCGTCGACCCCGCTGTGGCCTCTCTGGCGGCCCGTGTCGCCCTTTGGGCAAAGGCTGGGGTGATGGCGAGAATCGTCGAGTGGAATACAGCAAGCCAGGAAACGCATGGGCGGGGCAGTAAGGCCCAGCCTGGCGCGGGCGGCCATGGCCGGGCGGGCGCCGTACTCCAGAGGACGCCGCTGCCCTCGCCGCCAGACGACAACATGCAGCGGCATGACAGCGTGCAGGTCAGTGGCACGCAGCGCATCGATTCCTCGCATGGCTGGCTCGTAGTCGCGTCGACGATCACGGGAGCATGAGCCGACGTGCTCAGCCTCATTGGCCGGCACGGCCGGGCCAGGAACGTCGGCGGAGGAGTTCGGAGCAGCCGGGTGCGGGAACGCGAACGTGGCGGGAGCTAGAGCGTCCTGCGCCCGCACCCCCTCGTCGTAACGGCGCCGCGCGGCCGCCGTACCTCGACTTTGGCGGCGCGCAGCACTTCTGTAGCTTCGTCGGCTGCTGTGGCATCCTCCACGCTCGGCCCGCCCAGCTCTGCGGCCAGCCGCTTCCGGTGCGCGGACTCAGCCGAGTGGAAAGCTGCTCCTGCGCGCAGCTCCGACGGCAGGGGAGTGGCCGCAGAGTGAGCTGGGGAGGGCGGCCTGCTGCTTGACGTGTTCGTCCATGCTGGCCCCAAACAGCTCCTCACGGGTCTGCGCGTACTCCTCAGACAGCAGGCGCGCGTGCGCCTCGAGGTGCTGCCACGCGCACGGGCGCAGGTCCTCCTCCAGGGCTTTCGAGGCCGACTGCTGCATGATCGTCCTGACGGCCTGGTCCGCCTCGTCGTGCACGCGCGCCCCCACCGTGGATGGCACGCAGGGAGGCCAAGTGCGAGCTGGGAGAGTCGACGCGTGTCCTTGCCGGGCCGCGACTGAGGCATACGAGCCGAGGAAGGTCTCGAACTTAAACTGCGCTGCTGACCCAAGCATGAACAGTCCACCCGTGGACCTGTGCACGCATGTGCAGAACTCGGCCAAAACTGGATCGACGCGCACCTCGCCCCGTCTCTCGGCAGCGTCCCAGGCCGGCATAAGGACGCGAGACTTCCTAGCTGCCAGTCTGTGCCCATGCCTGGCCAGCGTCTCCTCCAGCGCGGGCCACGCGTCGATGATACCGCGCACCACGCCGACTAGGTAGGTGTCGTCGGCGGCGCCCCATGTGGACTGGGCTTTCGCATGGCAGCTCCACGAAGGCACCCTCCAAATGACCTGCGCCAGCGGCGACCCCTGGAATCCTCCGCTCCACGTTTCGTCGGCTGCCATCGCGACCTCCGCAACTCGCTGCCACAGCCCAACAGCGCCGTGCCTCCTTTGGGCCGCGGCCAGCGCGGCCACGCGTGGGGAGCACGCGGAGGCGGCGCGGAGAGCGCCTGACCGGTAGAATCTGCCGTATGCGTTCTCGAGGTGAAGCTCCACGAGCGCGTCGGCCTCCAACCCGAACTATTCGGCCTCGTCCGGGAAGAGGGTGGACGCCTCCTCCTCCGCCTGGTAGATGTTCTCGAGCCAAGCCCTCATGAGTTTGACGGTGCTGGCAGAGGTTTATCGCTCTCTCACCCTCCCTTCCCTCCATTCATCCACCCTGCCGACTCTCATAGATCTCCTCAATCTGGTCCCATCGTGTTCCTATTACCCCTGTTCCTGATAATCATGCTCCTCATCCCTCTTCCCCTCCTCCTCCTCCTCCTCCGCCTCCTCCTCCTCCTCATGCTTCTCCCCTCCTCCTCTCGTATTCTTCATCCGCCTCATCCTCCTCTTTCTCTTCATCCTCGTCCTCCTCAAGAGAGTGAGGTATCCCATTCAGGACCTGATGGACGTGCCCAGTCATGTCTGGGGTGGTGATGGGTGGGGCACAGATCGATCCCTGCAGGGGCAAGACACTGGAACCACTGCACGGATTGGCTCCCAGTGGGGCGCAATCGGGCCCGACAACTTCGAGGAAGAAGAACAACTAGGCGGACAAGGAGGACAAGGAAGAGCGGATCAGGCAAAGGGTTCGCTCCTTGATAAATCTCCAAATCCCCACCACCCCTGGACCGTTTCCATCCCGTGCAAAACAAGCACAATGCCTGTCCGGCCATCCCTTCATCCATCCCACCACTTCACCCCGTTCCCTCAGAGTTTCCGTTGTTGCGTTTCCTTGCCCATCAAATCCCCCATCGCAACTCTGTCATCTCGTCCCTACCCCTGCTCTCATCCTCCTCCGTTTCCCTATGGGAACTGTTGTGGAAATGTCTTCCTCTGACTGTCCGCAAGACACCCTAATCTCGACACAGCAACGTCGGCTCGAAATGCTCCGCAGACTGCGAGGCACTGCTTTCGATAATATAACCGCACGTGCCCCGCGTGTTCATCATACAAGTTCCAGCATACCCAAGACAGCGTACGGTGCAGGACGCGTACTAGTCCAGCGGAGACTGGTCACTGGCGCATGGCATATGCCACACAGTATGTGATGCAGAATGCAACGAAAAAAACAAGCGTGACATGCAACCCATGAATCACAACTGGGCTCGATGTGCCGTTCTAAATCCTCGACACACGCGAGCAGGCCGGAATGATGCAGTGGGTGTACACAAAATGGCGTAGAAAGCTCAGGGATGGAAGCGAAGTTGGAAAATCCGCGGACGGCAAAAAGCCTGACTTTGATAGTGTATCGAATGCAATTCGGCTGGGACCAGAATGGCTCGACATCATATGCTCCATCTGTCACTGCACGAAAACTCCATGCCATTTAAAAGAAACGCGAGGAGGCCTTATTTCCGAAGCCAGCGGGACGAGGAAAGGCATCAGACTCTCTCGTGCCCTGGAAGCCGTTGCTGGCACCTCCGAGCAACGAACGTAGCACTGATGGTGATGATGATGATGCTGCTGCTGCTGCTGCTGATGATGATGATGGTGATGGTGATGGTGATGGTGATGGTGATGGTGATGGTGATGGTGATGGTGATGGTGGTGATGGTGATGGTGATGGTGGTGATGGTGATGGTGATGGTGATGGTGATGTGATGGTGATGGTGATGGTGATGGTGATGGTGATGGTGATGTTGATGGTGATGGTGATGGTGATGGTGATGATGGTGATGTGATTGATGATGGTGATGATGATGGTGAGTGATAATGTCATGGTAATGGTAATGGTAATGGTAATGGTAGATGGTAATGGTGAATGGTAATGGTAATGGTGATGGTGGTATGGTGATGGTGAATGGTGAATGGTGATGATGTGATGAATGATGAATGATGGTGATGGGATGGTATGGTGATGGTGATGTGATGGTGATGATGGTGATGGTGATGGTGATGGTGATGGTGATGGTGATGGTGATGGTGATGGTGATGGTGATGGTGATGGTGATGGTGATGGTGATGGTGATGGTTATGGTGATGGCATGTGGCGATGGTGATGGTGATGATGTGATGGTGATGGTGATGGTGATGGTGATGGTGATGGTGATGGTGATGGTGATGGTGATGGTGATGGTGGTGATGGTGATGGTGATGGTGATGGTGATGGTGATGGTGATGGTGATGGTGACGGTGACGGTGATGGTGATGGTGATGGTGATGGTGATGGTGATGGTGATGGTGATGGTGATGGTGATGGTGATGGTGATGGTGATGGTGATGGTGATGGTGATGGTGATGGTATGGTGATGGTGATGGTGCTGGTGATGGTGGTGACGGTGGTGGTGATGATGGTAATGATGTTGTGATGGTCATTATGACGACGACAACGAAGACGATGAAGAAGATGATTATCAATGATGGAGGTGATGATGATGATGATGCTGATGATGATGGTGGTCATGATGATGGTGATGATGCTTATTGTGATGATGGTGATTATGATGGTGCCTATGTCATTGATGATGTTGATGATGATGCCGCTGCTGATAATGAAGATGGTGACAGTAGTAGTAGTAGTAGTAGTAGTAGTAGTAGTAGTAGAAGAAATAATAGTAGTAGTAGTAGTAGTAGGAGTAGTAGTAGTAGGAGTAGTAGTAGTAGGAGTAGTAGTAGTAGTAGTAGTAGAGGCAGTAGCAGTAGTAGTAGTAGTAGTAGTAGTAGTAGTAGTAGTACTAGTAGTAGTAGTAGTAGTAGTAGTAGTAGTAGTAGTAGTCGTAGTAAAGTAGTTTAGTAGTAGGTAGTAGTAGTAGGAGTAGGAGTAGAGTAAGGAGTAGGAGTAGAGTAGGAGTAGGAGTAGGAGTAGGAGTCAAGCTAGCCAGCTCGAGCGAGTCAAGCATGGCATGCCCAGTCCCACCCGCCCTCCCACAACATAAGAAGCAAAGCTGGCACAACTGGGGGCCGAAGTCACACCGGCCAGCCGGTTTGGTACAGCTGATGCGGCCGCGATGGCGGTTGCCGACGGGAACTGGCGAGCGCGTGTTGAATGCCGCGCACGCATTGCCAGACGAGTCGAGAATGGCCCGGTACACCGCAGGAAGCCAGAGGTGGCCGGAGGAAGCCCGACGGTCTGACAGGACACCCCAAAGCATTTTTGTGAAAAAGCATTGGGTTTTTGATGTTTTTATGTTGAAATGCTTGCAAACACACGGCGTTCGGTAGGATTCTGACATGAACGCGCGAGTGTGCTCTTTGTGGTATTTTTTGCACAGGATTCGCGGCCTGGGTGCATGACAGAGCATCGCGAGTGCACCGCGCGATGACGCGAAATCGCTGGATTTGACGAATTCTTAAGATTCCTATGGTTTTCCTATGATTTCAGCAAGAGAGCCCGGGCGGGAAATTTGTACAATTTTTGTGAAAAAGCATTGGGTTTTTGATGTTTTTGTGTTGAAATGCTTGCAAACACAAGGTGTTCGGTAGGATTCTGACATGAACGCGCGCGTGTGCTCTTTGTGTTATTTTTTGCAATGGATTATCGCCGTGGACGACAAGACGTCCATGTCGAGAGGAAAAAATATGAAAAATGTTGATTTTGTATTGTTTTACAGGTTAGGATGGGACCCCCCGGATGCGGCCCCTAATGGCCGGCCTGAGGGGGGAGTAGGAGTATATTCTAAAGGAATAAGGACAGTAGTAGTAGTAGTAGAGTAGTAGTAGTAGTAGTAGTAGTAGTAGTAGTAGTAGTAGTAGTAGTAGTAGTAGTAGTAGGTAGTAGTAGTAGTAGTAGTAGTAGTAGTAGTAGTAGTAGTAGTAGTAGTAGTAGTAGTAGTAGTAGTAGTAGTAGTAGTAGTAGTAGTAGTAGTAGTAGTAGTAGTAGTAGTAGTAGTAGTAGTAGTAGTAGTAGTAGTAGTAGTAGTAGTAGTAGTAGTAGTAGTAGTAGTAGTAGTAGTAGTAGTAGTAGTAGTAGTAGTAGTAGTAGTAGTAGTAGTAGTAGTAGTAGTAGTAGTAGTAGTAGTAGTAGTAGTAGTAGTAGTAGTAGGGCTTGGTGATGATGATGGTGGTGATGACGGTGATGATGATGATGATGATGGTGATGATGATGAGAATGATGATGATGATTAAGAAGATGATGATGAGTGAGATGTTAATGTGTGTCTAAATTCATTCGTATACAAAAAACTAAAAACTATAATGACAATGGTAACGTCCTGGCGGATAGGAGGAGGTCCATATGGTGGCAACCCTGATGTTATGAAGGGGATGACGCTGGCTGGTCATAACATTGGCTTGATGTGGGTGGCAAGTGCGGTGGTGACGAAAGACGTGCCTGTTCTGATGACTATCAAGACTCTTCAAAACTTTCAAGGGACTGAACAATCAAATACCCCATCCCCTCGATGTTTTCCTTCCGCCTCTCCGTGACCACCTCCACTGTCTACCTTCCTCCATCCCGCCTGCCCTGTCCATACGCCTCCTGTCGTAGGTAAGGGTCGCTTCGCGATGGCGAACTGTTCGGTGAAACAATGCAGGCACGTTACTCTTCACGCCCTGTACTTGTTCACCCAAAGCCTCAAGTAAACACGTGAGCTTGTAAACTCTCCTCCCCGCGGAGGGCATCAGCCGTCGCTGTGGAGGCATCAGGCGTGCAAAAGCACAGCTCTTCGACGTTGGGGGTGGCAGGCGGTCGCCATATATGGACGGTGCTATTTAGCAGACCCACACCGTCCTTAAAGCCTCGACCACGGGTTGACGGCGCTGCATCGTCCTCAACCATCTTCCAGCATCCTCTTGAGGGCCCTCCTGAAGATCCACTCGAGGCGATTAGAGGTCCATTCCGCGCAGAGGCGTGCAGCACACGGCATACAGTGTACGTATATCCCCGTCTCGCTGGTCTGCGCCCTATACTGAGGGAATTCATGGGGGAAGCCGGTGAGAGGCCTCTGAAAGGTCATTGATTCGGCAACCTCCAGCACTGTTTACGTCCTGATGTCTCCTGACAACTAAATGAGCGCTGCCTTCTGGATGATGATGTGAATGTGGCAGGAGGCAGAGAGCAGCGCACAGCGTTCTCATTTTGGGGATCACCATCACAAAAGGAACACATGGCAGTGTACACGGCAAGATCTTGACACTGCATGCTTCCCCATTTCGCTCGACTGAGAGCTACGCACGTGTCCGCCGACCCCTTGGTGGTCACTCGGCGTGTGAGGTACTTCCCCTCCCCAAACCCCTCCCCCTGCAGCTCGAATAGGCGGGGAAACCGCATGTGGACGCATCCACTTGAGCCTTGAGTGGAGCTCCGAGTGGAGCTCCGTGTGGGTCCGCGAAACGTGTAAAATCTATGCCAGAACAGGCGGGGGCACCAGATGTGGACGCACCCACTGGGGGATTCGGCCGAGCTCCCTATGGCCATATAGGGGCCCAGAAACGTATGAGGGGTGTGCCGGAATGAGCGGGGGGGCGCCATGCGAACGCAGCCACTGGGCCATTATGTGAAGATCTTTGTGGGGCCACGAAACGTGTGAGGTGTGTGCCGACAAGGGCGTGGTGAGGCTATGCGTCAAAGCCCCCTGAGACCGCAGGTGGAGTTCCACATGGGGGGCACGAAGTGGATGCGGGGTGTGCCGAAAGAGGCGCGCTGCCGCCATTCGTCTGCGCCCCCTGAGACCGTAGCAGAACCCCCACTGGGACCACGAAACGTGTGAGTGGTGTGCCGAATTGGGGGCGCGCGGAGAGTAGAGGAAGGAGGACGAGGAGGAGGAGGAGGCGAGGTGGGGCGCGGCGCTGCTGACTGAAAACGAGGACACAACACACACACACACACACACATACACTTTTTTCGTCGACGGCTAGGCAGGGGTCGTCTGCGCTGGCGGATGAAGCTAACTAAACGGGGACACCGTTGTAGCGAAGTGGCCAACATGCAAGAGGAGGGGAGGACGTAAGAGTCTGCTGGCGGCCGCGGGGGGAAGAAAAAGGGGCGAGGGCCGCTCAGGGGGACGGGTCACACAAGACACACACACAGGATGGTTGCGAATAACTTTATGCATTGGAATAGGAATTCGGCTGCCGCTTTTCGCCCCCCCCCCCCCCCCCCCCCCGCACCCGTTCTTGGAAATTCGGCTCTCGACACAAGGACGCGAATCTTCGAAAACTGCAGACGCAAGGAGCCCAAAGTCAGTCCCAACCGCGCGAGTTTGCTCAAGACGGCCTTAGGCAACAGCCAGTCGGTCCAATAGGGCCCCCAATGCACAGCATGAGGCAATCCCTTTAAGAAGGCAGGAAAGCTATCAACATGGTATGTTGATTGCCAGCTTCCCTCGCATGATGTCCCAATTTCGTTTCAAGCCCGCACCAAGAGGTCCGAATACAGCACGGATATATATATATATATACATGAATACATAAATACATACAGATATACCGATATACGTATACGCATGTAAACATAAATATATGCTCGCCCCCCCCCCCCC